TCTTTGGAGAAGTTTTAAGCGTTAATGACTTGACCTGGACAGCATCAGTTTTGATTAGATGTATCAGAGTACCATAATTACCAGGAAATCTGCTGTTGTTAAAGTTCAGAGTTAGGAACAATTTTGTCTCAGTCAAAAGATAGCACACCTAACCTGTTATTAGACCTGTATGGTCTCGTTACCTGGTACGACCTTTAGTGAAATGTCTGTAGGCATACAGCATTATAAAACAAGGTGTGACAACAAACCACAAGGAACTATTAGAAGCACTGGATTAAAAGTCTGATCAGACATAGGTTTTAAGAAGCATCTGAAGGGTAGAGGGGTAAAAGAGTGGCAAGGTTTAGCAAGGGAACTTTAGAACTTGGCACCCAGAACGCTGACAGCACAGCCACTTACTGTGAGGGAATTAAAATTGGAGATGGGAATAGGAGCACAAATGTCTCAGAGGAATAGGCTGAAGGATATCACAGGGATAACTGGAGCAAGGACAGAGAGATTTGAAAACATGGGCTAGAAATTTTAAAAAAAAAAAAAAAAAGATGCTGCTTCACCATGAGCCACTGCAAGCTTTCAGCCTAGGTATCGGATCCCAGAACCACACTTGGAGTAGAAAAGGGTGAGTTAAGATGGCAATTTTCTCCCTTGATAATTTAGAATTTGAGTCTCACGTCTGTCTGGAGCAGTTTGCATTCTTTAAAATCACATCTCATGTAAATTTCAAAGCATCAGACTGTTACCATGAACAGCAGACAGTGAAAGGATTTGGAAACTGTTGAGGGCTTGGAACAGTCAAGTTTAGACATTATGTAGGAGCAAATTACTGCAGATGCTGGAATCTATACCGAAAACAATCTATGCTGGAGCCCACTGTGGGTAAGGCAGTATCCATGGAGAGAAAGCAAGCTAACGTTTTGAACCTGGATGACTCTTCATCAGAGCTGATGTTAGAGTTTACATAGGAGTGGCTCCTTGTTTCAGTGAATGGAAGTACCTCAAAACCTGATTCAACTTTAAGAGGATGGCACAGAAAAAGAGAAGAAACAAATTTAAGAACAAAGGACAGCAAAACGGTAGAAGCAGCAAAACATCCATATTCTGTTTTTGAGGATTTCCCCAACTGTGTTACAATGGAGGAACCAAACAAGATAAATATCTTTAGGAACATTATCCCTGTACATCACTTGGCAAGAATCCAGTGGAATTGGAATAGGATTATTCTTTCTTGAGGGGGAATATAATTGATTCTGCTTTGGAAGCAATTAAGAGTACACAGCTGATTTCTGGGTTGAAGGGCATTGGTTGAGATAAGATTGAGCAGGTTAGGGTTATGTTTATTGCAGTTTAGGAGAACGAGCGGAGGGGAGGTGATGGCCAAGTGATATTAATCGCTAGACTATTAATCTGGAGACCCGGTTAAATGTTCGGAGAATCTAGGTTCAAATCCCACAACGGCAGATAATGGAATAAGTATTCAATAAAACGTCTGGAATTAAAAGTCTCATAATGACCACGAAACTATTGTCAACTGTAAAGAAAGAAAAACCCATCTGGTTCACTAATGCCCTTTAGGGAAGGAAACTGCCATCCTTACCAGGTCTCGTCTATATGTGGCTCCAAACTCCATAAGCAATATGATTGACTCAATAGACCTCTGGGCAGTTAGGGATGGGCAATAAATGCTGGCCTCGCCAGTGATGCCCACATCATGTGAATGAATAAAAGGAAACCTTACTGAAACAAAGGTTTCTCACCAGACTTGGCAGGGTAGATACTCAGTCTTCTTGAGGTGCCTAGAACTAGGAGACACAATCTAGTTCAAAAAAAGTCTACCCCTCTCCCCACACCCCCAACCCCCTCAGGACTGAGGCATTTTGGAGTTCTCATTCCAATTCAGCAGTGGAAGATCATTGATGCATCATGGCTTGGTATGGCAATTGCTCTGCCCAGGATCATAAGAAGCTACAGACCAGCCCAGACCATCACGCAAGCCAACCATCCATCCATTGGTTCCATTTATGCTTCTCAATGCTGCAGAAAGGCAGCCAACATCAAAGACCCCTCTCACCCAGTTAGATTCTCTTCCAACTCTTTAGTCAGGCAGAAGATACCAAAGCTTAAACACACAGACCAACAGGTTCAAGAATAGCTTCTTCCCCACTGTTATTACGCGTCTGAACGGACTTCTCAAATTTCAAAATGGAATGTTGATCTTGCTTTTTATGTACCTTCTTTGCAGCTGTAACTTTGTATTCCTCGCTCTGTTCAATTACTCTATGATCTTTGTATGTTACGATCTGCCTATACTGCATGCAAAACACAAAACTTTTCACTGTACTTAGGTACGTGACAATCATGAATCAAATCAAAGGATTGGCTGTTACCTATATTGAACTGAGAGTTAGATATTTGATTAATTAAGGGAAGTGAAGGGTGATGGGGGTCTAGGCAGAAAGTGGAGATAAGGCCATGATCAAATCAGCTGTGATCTGAGAGAAAGCTAGTGTAGGCTCAAAAAGGACTGAATGGCCTATCCCTAAACGTTACGACTTTATTGGTTCCATATCACTGAAGTAGGTAGTTTTAAAAATTCAAACCATCATAGGTTGCAAAGGCCAGGCACATAATAAAAAATTACTTGTATTGAGTGGTTTAAAGCCGGTTGATGAGAAGATGCTGCACACTGTATCATATCTTTCGGACATGTCTAAACTGAAAACCCAGGGGATCCACAATGAAGTTATAAATTGGATTATTAATTGCCTAGATAAATGGAAAGCAATGCTGCTGTCAATGGTAATTGATCTAACTGGGCTATAGTGACCATCTGAACCCGGAGGGACTACACATCTTATCCTCATTTTTCAGAATATTTTAGAACAAACTGAGTGAAAATATAGAAAAATGTCAGCATTAGTCAAATTAAATCAAATTGAAAAGTTGAATGTTGAGAATAGGGATTTCATTAAAACAGATCTACAGGAATCTAATAACTGTATAAAACTGAAATTCTTGTCGACACCTACACAATAATTAAGGAAAAATCCACAAGTAAAATTACATCATTTGTCTATCGAATAAAGTACCATCTTGCTGGCCAAAGCAAATATTATATTATAAATACAATTTCAGTCACTTATGTAGATATATAGTAACATTTATGCTGTAACTTCAATTACCTCAGGAAACACCCAGCACTTTTTAGCCAATGATGGAATTTTAAGTACAGTCACTATAGCGTAAGTCTATATATTTCAATAGTTATGCCTGCTTCCAATGAAATCACTCAAAATTATATTCCACCAATAACATGCCTACTTATAAGATGTGGCTTTTGAGGTGTTGTTTTAAATGTAAAGTAATTTGGGTAGATCACACTAAAAATACTTTCCGGTAGTTGCAATATTTGCACCAAGAGGAGCCTGGTTAAGATGGTTACACTTGTTTTGCAGCCAATCCAAAGTTTGAAAAACAGTTCCGATTGTAGGACGGAGCCAAGCGCTTCAGTATGAAGGCGTTGTTTTAACAACAGCTTTGGTTATTAGAGCAACGCGAGTTTCAAATGCTGCTCATATTTGACAGGGCAACGTGATTTGATTTCATTTGGTCCTGGTCAAAAGATTACCAACAGCAGATCTCAGCAGACTCTAGTTCTGGTCGTATCGTTATAGAAAGGATATTATTAAGCTGGAGAGGATTCAGAAAAGATTTCAAAATATTGACAGGAATAGAAGATTTGAGTTATAAGGAGAGGCTTTTTTCACTGGAGTGTAGGAAGTTGATGGGTGACCTTAGAGGTTTATAAAATCATGAGGGGTACAGATAAGGTGAATGGCAGGTATTTTTTTCTTTATGGACGGGGATTTCAAGACTAGGGAGGATATTTTTAAGGTGACAGGAGAGAGATTTAAAGACATGAGGGGCATTTTTTTTTTTTTTTTTTTTTTAAAAACAGTTTACTGGTGTGGAATGAATTTCCAGAGGAAGTGGTGGATGTGGGTACAGGTGGAATGTTTAAAAGACATTTGGATAAGTGCATGAATAAAAAAGGCTTGGAGGGATGTGGGCCAAGTGCAGGCAGGTGGGACTAATTTCGTTTGGGATTATGGTCAGCAGGGACGAGTTGGACCAAAAGGGTCTGTTTCTATACTGTATATCTCTATGAAGAGGTAGCCGTGTAGTAAATTAAACAAGGACTCTCATTAAGTTACCCTTAAAAAATCTCAAGACTATCTTCTCTAAAGGTTATTAGCATAGAATATTTAATTTTTATATTAAAATGAGGGCTACATTTTGCACCGATTTGAATTTGCTGTATTGCCTTTGCTAATAAGCTTATTGCTAAAAAAGGGGATTTTACGTGAAACAGTTATGAAGGAGAACTGAAATCAAGACCGTGTGACTGTTCTAAGAGGCATGAAATCAAATGCATCATTTCAGAACTCCAATATTTACTGTGCAAGTTGCAACCACATTCAGCATCCATTTGTAAACATGCACTAAATATTTCCACTCACAAGCAGAGTTTCCTCACAAAGGCTAATTGGTTGTGATGGGCAAGTTCTTTGATCTTCTTTGAAAACAGATGCAATTCAAGATTTCACCATAAAGGCATCGCACTCTCTCTCTCTCTCTCCCACATCTTTAACTTTGAAAGATATCAGCAATGGATTTAGAGTACTCGCTACATTTTGAACACTGTCACCCAAACATACTCTTTAGGGTTGGCGGACCAATCTTTCTGCTCATAATTAGAATCACTCCTGAAGGAACGTCAACTTTCACAGCTTAAAAATTGGGGCCTTTTTCTCTCCCAAAGTTTGTTCCATTATTTTGCATTCCAAAATGATATCCCAACCTAAGAATACCCAGTAATGGCACAATTCTTCATTAGGTGAGCTACAGCAATAGGTACCATTTTGTTTTTAAAATGAAGACAGAAATGTGTGTTTGCATTGATGAGATGGGAGTAGGGATTGGCAAAACAACTTCAGAGACAGTTCAAGATAACACCGGTTTTTTCATTTATTTGTCCAGAATGACACTGACACATTGACGTACTGAAATGACAATGATATAATTTCTCAATAGGAAAAGAGAGACACAATTTTGAAGAATTACTGTACTGTACAAAGTGATAAAATAATGCAGACAACACTTTCTATATAGCATATGTATCAGCAGAGTAGCTATTAAACACACACAGTAACAATTCTTCAGCTGTTTTTGTAGAAATGCCCTTTTAAGTTGCAGAGAGTTAACAATTGCACTGCGCAGTTAGAATGACAGTAATTTAGGAGTTAAACAACGAACCTCCAACTGACCGAACATCAGCACCAAATTAATAGGGGGAAACACGTATCCATGTTTTGCATCAGATTATGACTCAAATACAATAATACAGGTTCACTCAGCAATAGTACATCAATCTGGCTCAAACCATAATTCATAATTAAAAATTAATACTGAATTAATCCCAATGCCTTGACTGTATCACCAAATTAAGTTCCAGAAGTCACCAACAGATACAAATTTCTATATGACCGCAGTACACAGCAAATTCTTAATAAAGCACAATTAATATCTTGCTACTTTTAAAATATATTTACAAATATTCAAGTGTTTTTGGATGGTGAAATTTGTATAGATGAATGGTCAACATTATTCACTCGAAATCTAAATATGGCAGCTCCAAGTTTTTCATATTAATATAAAATTTATATTTCATATAAATTTTTCATATTGTGTCATGATTTCTTAAGTTTACTTACTTTATCTTAACCCTCTGCCTGGGGTTAACCCAGATTTAGATTTGAATTGCTCAAATTGAGTTTTCTATAATATGGAAGATTTGACAAGTAGTTACAAGCATGGCTATACTTGCAGGTAACCAGTAGGGGGAGGAGGAGGAAAATAGGAACCTCGATCCTGGCTATCAGAATCAATTGGAATTGATAGCCTATCAAAAAAGCCTTTAAATGACAAGTTTAGACTGTTTAGTAATGCAATGCTTATTTTAGAAAGAACTGAATGCCACTGGATTTGAAAGCAAAGGCAAAAGTCAGTTTAAAAAAAAAAGCTCAATAAAATGAAAAAAGTGATTCTAGCAAGGCAAGCTAAATGATCAATTTAATCTGGTTTCCTAAAAGCAGGAAAAACAAAACTTCTAAGTAGCTTCACTAACCTCAATATCATTGTATAACATATACAATGTTGGAACTGCTGAGAGGGAAAAAATGCTATGCTTGGATGAAACAAATTTATTTTAATTCTTCAAAAACAAAAATCTATTGCTGAGTTCCTGAAGGTTCATTTCTGGGCAGCACTTTAAGCTGGAAGTATACACCAAAGAACTGTAAATAAGTTACTTGCAAATAAACAAAATCAGGCAGCTAGGCAAATTAAACAAAAAAAGTGATTCAATTTCCTTAAAAAAATTCTTTTGAAGTACAAAAAATCCAATTAATCCTATATACCTATAATACAACAGAAATAAAAGTTCTTTATCAAACTGCCAGGAACTTCAGATTTTGGATTAATCACCTTGTTTTAATGCATAGGACCGGATCAATAAAGTGTCATCACAAGCTTATTGTATTGCCATGGCTGTGTTAGGAAAGAAAATTGGCATCACAGTAACTGTGAAACAGGGTTTATTTCAACATATTTTCTTATCATGCATAAAAAAGTAAGCAAGTATCAACATGGGGCAAACTGGTTGGCTGAACATTCAGAGACCGGGCTAGCAACCACCTATAATGTTTAAATTGGAAAATTCCAGCTCCATTAATTAATTAATTCAGTTTTGGGGCAAGAATATATATTTAGCTGACACACTGATTTTCAGATGCCGACTGGCAATAAAAATGATGCCTCTCATCTGCAGTTTAATTGTGAGAAATTTGACCCCATTGTGCCTACAATCAGACAGCTAGCTTAGGGCTGAATAGAAATATTCTTGGGTCTGGGCATCCTTCCACTGCATGAAAAATAGCCACCATCAGCAATCTACATCAAAGCCTCTTTCACCTCGAACTAATTGTTTTAAATACTAAAACAAAAAAGCACAAATTAATGTTCGCTTTATGATCAATTTGCCTCAAGGCAGGTACAAAGATTTGATGAGAAAACACAAAAATAACAGTTTTGCTTACAGTCTATTGAGCTAGCCAATAACTCCTGCACACTTGCAAGATAGAGGTGCCAGAATGCAACTGCCAATTGGTCCTAGTGTTAGATAAACCAACAAACTATTTTATACAAGCAAACACCTTGTATGTAGGTTATGTATGGACTTTTTAAGAGTCTGCACCAATGTAATTCCCCTATATTAAAAAGGGACAACAATAGGAGGAAAAGTGCATTAATTTTTGATTAGTACGTAGCACAATGTTGTGTGCCTGGGACAGAATGAAGTACCTGAAATAATTCTGAGGTACATTAAGAGGGCAGTCAACTATTTTAAAGCAAGGATTCTAGTATGGAATCAAGCAGCAGTTAGAATAGTGTTCCCAAACGATGACCAGTCACCCTGAAGTCTCTTCATAATAAAGAATTGCTTTTAAAGTCACTTCAACTATTTACAGCAAATCATTAAGAAAAGGAAACTACTCAAAGATATTTTATTGTGAAACATAAAGGGCATAATTTATAGAACTAACATGCAAGGATTTCTGCTTTGTGAGCAAGAAGTGTTCAGCATTCGCTTAACTGCTATTGTGCAATAGAGAGAACATATTTCACTTAAATATAGTTTCAAAGTGCTACAACTGCTTGGGCCAAATGGCATAACATTTCCTCAAAAGTGCAATTCGACTTCTTAATCTGGATAGAACATTTTCTAAGCGCTAGTATCTGAAAAATATAATCTGATCATCATTTTAACAACAAGAATGCCAAATGCCATCATGTCTTTAAAAACACTGGCTTTAGAATAAAATGATCTAAATCCAAAATTTGGGGATTATGATAAAACAGCTAGAAAATGTTAATTTTGTAAATGCACTTTTTAAAAAGGAAATGCATATTAACAAGTTATGCACTGCTTGTACCATGTGGAGCACTTTTTCTACAGCAATCACCAGTGAGAGACACGCAGGTCAAAACAACCACTATGTGTAAACCGAAGGCAAACCAGCTAGAACAGACGCAGCTAATGACGATTTATACTAAGTCCATACTAATACCACAAGTTTCAATGTACAGATTAAATAGTCTTATGTACACTTCTTATGCTCAATCTTAGTTCACACAATTTTAATTTCTTCTAATTTGTCATTATATTTATTATATAAAATTAATTCATTTTATGCCTCTCCCCAAACATGAATGTTATAGATTGAACATCGCAGCAGCTTTGCAAGCAAGAATGGATTATTTTTAAAGTAAAATAAAACCTATTCTGAGCAAATTGTCCCCATTTTTCCCCTACTGTGCTGTACAAATACAATCTCAATCTCATCAACTTTAAAGATTTGACCAGAGACCCTACAATTTGGAAAAGTTTCAGGAGGAGATAAGCAGCAAGAGAAGATTCTTTTTGTCTGATTTGGCTTGGTAGGACAACATTAACTGGCCACATCTCTGCATTTGATTCTATTGGCAAGTGCCACAGGTGTTCTCTTGCACTGTGGTTCATTTCGTGACCCTTAACCAATCCATCCATCCATGCTCATGATTCAAGTTTTGTAATGGGTCAACAAAATTCAAAGCAGATCTTAAGTTAAATCATGGATAATAAAATATATTTCCACATACCAAGACAGAGATTTTGAAAATAAGTCACAAACTGAATCTTTTGTCATCAGGAATGTATATAATACAGCAATGTGGATGCAAATAAAGTTACTGCTTATTGCTTGCAGTTATATATTCAAGTCCCAAACCTAGCAGTCCTGTTTTTAAGTGCATTAGTTTCGTGATCATGTGTTACTTCACAGTATCAATTTTCAGGGGCACTCTTTTAGCCCTATCTGACGACATTATGCGAGAGGAAGCGAAGTACCTGGGAAGCGGCCACTAATAGTGTTAGGGATATAAAGCAATATTATTGACACACTTCCTGACATTTCAGTAGTATTGTGTGTTGCTATACCTGATTTTCCTTTCAGAATCAAAGGCTAATACACTTTCGAAAACATACAATTTCAATTCTTTAAAGTGAAATAAACCGAGAACAAATTCAGAACAGTTTAAAAATTAAATGACAAGAATCAAATTACAGCTACCAACTTAATATAAATTATACTTGTGCATTATGACAAGATCTTTACAATTATTAGTATTCCAGCCTTCAAAGTCCACGAGAGACAAAGCATGACTGCACTGCAAAGATATGGTTCACTTAAACTCAAACCAAATACCAGCGAAGTTTAACCAGGTTAGGGTTTAGCAAAAAGTACATGCAATATTTGCATTTGAACATTGCAAGGGCACAGACTGAGAATCAACCAGTCTTTTTCAGCATACAAGTCATTTCAATACTCGAAGATTGTTAAATAAACAGATCTACCCCTTAATTAAAAACATTGCAAAATAAACCTCACTTTAGCAAGTGTGCACAGTCAGTAAGCAAAATGGAAAATAAGCAAATTAAACACGTTTTCCTACACGTTATCCAGTCTTCAGTAAGTACTGCAGGAGTACTGAAGCTTCCAAATAGGATGATTACAAATTATGTTGTCTGTTCCACACAAAGTGAACTTAAAACATTCTGTATTAGCTTTAATTTACAACAATCAGTACCAGAAATTTCTTTTGAAAATTCAGTGTGTGCTTATTGAAGGGTCCAATTAGGTACAAGGGTAAGAAGCAAGTCTTTTCAAAAGTGAGAGAAGTAATCCATGGTGAACTCAAAGACCCTCATGTATTTACTAGACCATGATCCCTTACAGGTACAGATTTGATCACTGTACAGCTACAAGTCATGATTAATCTGGGGTCTTTTGTTATTTAGTGCCATTATATTATCTCTATAAACTGGATTAGACAATAAGCGTTTCACAGAACAGCTCTGCGGGTACACTCAACGTTGCTCTAAGATACATCAAAACTAACAATACTGGGTGGGAGTGCAATGTAATACAAGGGCAAGGAGTTCTGCACCCATCCAGAAAATACCTGATTATTCCTAGCAATATGGTCAGCAGTGTTATTAAACTACCAGATATTATCCTGTGCATGTATGTGCGTGCACAGATGGTTTTTTTTAAAAAAACCTTTTTGCTTAAGTTGGAAGTGACCTATTTCATCACAAATACTTTCAATACCAATAAGATCACATCTTTTAAAAGGTATTTGCACATTGTTCTACAGCCACCACAGTTTCGTTTTTTTTTTTAAAAAAAAGAGTACACCACAAATAGCCATTTTTGGAGAATAGGGAGCTCTCTGAATCATACATACGGGGGAAGAGGGGAAGGAAAGAAAAAATTTTTGCATGTCCCAACCGAACCCAGGAGAGGCTCTGTAAACTGGTGAGGGTGCATTAACGCAGCAGGCTTACATCTGATTGTTGTACGCGTAGTTGGGAGTGTCCGAATATTCATTGTACTGTGGGCTTTGCATGGTCCCTTGCACTGCACCCACAGCAGCTTGCTGGGCTGCCTGCTGTACATGTGGGTTCTTCCACGCACCCGTGGTCCATTCCTCTTGTGCCTTGCTCATGCTGCCACCACTGCCACGGTAATAGTTATGAACCTGCGGTTGGTGATAAAATGATGGAATTCAGTCTTCAAAAAGACAACAAGCACTTCAGGAGGTTGGGGGGGGGGGGGGGAGGAAAAAAAAAGTGCCAAATTTAACAGAAACCAAAGCACACAAAACACAGAGGCCATGCAAATGAACAGGTTGGTGTTTGTACTCCACTAAAGCTTCCTCCTTCAAAACTTCATCTCACTCCAACCTTCTCAAAACAAAAAAAGAACTGCAGATGCTGGGAATCAGAAAGAAAAATACAAAGCTCTCTCTGCAGATTCTGCATAGACCCAACGAGTTTCTCCAGCGCATTCTGGTTTTGTTCCCGTTATTTTCTATTCCTTTCTCCCTCATGTTTTACCTAACTTCTCCTTGAATGCATCCATGCTCTTTGCCTCAAAACGTTAATTAATAGCGAGATCCCTACTATAGCCACTCTCCAAGGGAAAGGATTCCTCTGAATTCCTCATTGGTTTCATTCATGAGGATTACCTCTTTGGTGACCCCCTTTTAGTTTCAGAATTCCTACAAAGATAAAGTGAAAGGGCAGAAATAAAGCTGGGGACAAAAACAGGAACAGAAATTAGCTACCAAAATGAATTGCTCATACTGCATCACTAGCCAGCTCAGGAATAGTTGAGGAGGACATTTTAAATGGCCAGAATCTGGGGCTTCAATATCTTGCCCCTCAAGCATGGGTTGCACCTGATCCACAGCAGTGGTACTGATCTTGAGCAAAAAACAAAATCAAAAGACCACTAAAAAGAAAAGTGCCTTGGTGAGACCATTTCTGCAATACAGAGGAGGCGATGCTTTAATGGCATGCCTAGAAAGTTAGTCCAGAGACCCAGGTTTGTATTGGCAGATGGTGGAATTTGAATTCATAAATATCTGGAATTAAGAGTCTGATGACGACCATATTGTGTCAAATGAAACCCTTTAGGTTTGCTAACGCCCTTTAGCGAAGGAAATCGGCTGTTCCTAACGGGTCTGGCCTACATGTGACTCCAGACTCATAGCACTGTGATTTGACTCTTAATTCACTCTGAGCAGTTTGGGTTTTGGCCCAACCAGTGATACCAATATCATATGAATGAATTTAAAAGAAGTACTGTACAGAGTTTTTAGCCATCTTCCTTGAAAGTGGATAGAATTGTGAGACAAGCATTTAGGGAAGGCTCATTCGACTTATTCCTGGGAAGAAATGTTTACGTTATGAAAGGTTAGGCCTATACCCATTGGAAGTTAGAAAAACAAGTGGCGATCTTACAAGGTCGCGAGGGGACTTGACTGGGTGGGATACCAGGATGTTTCCTTCCTCTTTCAAGTGGGAGCCTAGAAACACAGGAAGGTTTAAAAATAAGGGATCTCCCTTTTAAGACAATTTTGAAAACCTTTTTCAGTGAGTTGTCAGTCTGTGGAATGGCTGGATGTCTAGTTTGCGATAGACTAGAGCAACGCCAATAGCATGGGTTTAATTCCCACGGCAGCTGAGGTTACTATGAAGGACTTTCCTCTCAACCTCTCTCCTTGCCAGAGGTGTGACAACCCTCAGGTTAAACCACCACCAGTCGTTTCTCTCTCTCTCTACCGAGATAGCAGCCCTACAGTCTGGTAGGACTACGGCTACTTTAATCTGTGGAATTCTCTTTCCCAGAGAGCAGTGAAGGCTGGGACTTTGAGAATATTCAAGGGTGAGTTAGACAGATTTGACCATCAAGGAATTTGGACAAACAGGAAAGTGGGAGTTCAGGTGAGATGATGACAATCAGATCAGTCATGATCTTGTTGAATAGCAAAACAGGCTCAAAGCAACAAAAAGAAAAAAGCGCCTGCTCCAGGTCCTATGATCCTAGAGGTGCTCCCACCTCCAAAATGCACAGAAAGAGCTAAGAGGTTAAAACATACAATATTCAAACAATACCATAACACTTTCTGTAAGTGAAACCATGAGATAAATAACTTGAGCTATAGTCAAAAGAAATGAATAACTTTTAAGTTGAAATAGAAAAAGAGGATAAAGGAATATCTGGAAGACAGATGTAGCAGCCAGAACTACTTACTGCTAAAGATTTCTCAATTTGATAAATGTGTTACAGTAATAACGGTGCAGCCAACATCTGGATAATTTTAATGCGTTTTATTCAGCTTCACGGGGTGCCAACATGTCTCTGGACATGTGGACTGTCTAAGTGATAACACAGCAGTTTGTGAAAGCACGATTAAATATTTGCACTATATTTTACATTTATTATGTAGAGCTCATTTCTTCCAACTACAGGTACACGTGACCAAAACCCAGTTTGCTATCCAAATTAGTACAATGTTTATTGAACACAGTACTTTATCATCAACACCACCATTTCACAATGCCAACATATAGACACAGAAGGACGGAATACAAACACCAAACAAAGCAAGACTAAAGAAACACGAAGCTCAGCAGCCACCATTTAAGCCTACTCAATTCGTGCACTTGTCAGCTGAACATAAAAATCCAAACCATGGGCACATGTTGTAGCTGTCAGCCTGTGGTTTCTTAGATTGGTGGCACTTTTATTAATAGAAAACTGCTTAACTCAATTTCTGAAAACACAAGGGTTAGGCCATTAAGACAGAGACAAGGAGGAATTTCTTCATTCAGATGGTGGTGAATCTTTGAAATGCTTTACTTAAGGGCTGTGGAATCAAATCATTAAGCATGGCCAAGACAGAAATCACAACATTTCAGGTTGCAATCAGGTAGTCTGCAGATAAAGCAGAAAAGGTAGATGATCAGCCATGATCAAGGATAGCAAACTAATTCTAGTGGACCAAATGGCCTGTGTTCTTAATACTACAAATAGAGTGAAGGTATGTTTAAATTGTTATTTCTAGTGCATACAGGGGTTTGAGGTGGGGTGGATGAAGAGGGCAGATGGAGTTATGGAGAAGGACAATGATCGTATATAGACCATTTAATCCAATTGAATCATAGGATCTTTCAACAAATCTAGAATTAGTTCCATACTGCACCCTCCATGTGATCAACCAGGACATTAAGATGAAGGCAACCCTTCTGAAAACTCTTGATAACCATCAAACTACTAAAATGAGCACACCTAATCAAATACAGACAGGCAACACAACACAACAATATTAAACCATTATATTTAAATCCTCAACTATTGTTCAACAGTACTAGATAAATCAGCATTTCAAAATGAGTCAGTGGAATAAATAAGGACCCGTTATATCAAAAAAACACTATGGCTCATTAATTGCTAGAAAGTATCATAATGCGCACGTCAGAAAGCTATAGACAGAACCCAGAACATGCAGCTTTACAGTTTGTAGACTTTACACTGAAAATTAATTACAGGACAAGGCAGTTGTTTACACTGGCAATATACACTAATGGTATCTTAATTGAATCTAAAAAGTGGCAGCTGAACTCATTAGGAGTTTTGCAGTGTACAGTTATTCTAATACTGTCATTAATCAAATACACACTGCACAGATTCAGAATGCAAAAAAGTAAAAGAGCCCGACAAAATAAAGCGGTGAATGTTTTATTTCCTCCTTTTCTTGTACTTCCATCAAAGGTTCAATACCGTCACCCTTTATTAGAGGACTTAACACATGACGTTGAATTGATTCTTTCCCCAGATATTTTATATTGAAACTAGGGTTCATGAAGACTGTCATGCACTACGCTCTTCCATTTATCCAAACCCAACTGACAGAACCTAACACTGCATCTAGGCAATTGGAAACAACAATAAAAATTCCACATCTCTGATGCCATCAACATTATGGGGGCCCTCTGCTTTACATCCACGTATGCCATCAACAGCAAGTCTTCAATTCTCAGCTTGAAAGTTCAAATGGGCTGCTTAATCTCAGATCAGGTTGACTCATGGATTTAATTAGCAGCTGTTTCCTACGATAAAAGGGTTCTGGTTTATTCCATTATAAATAGCACTGATTCAATTAACTAACAAATCCAGCTCCTGGAAGGTTTTTTTTCATTCTCAATTGAGTGTATTTTGTCTTGGTGGGTGTGCAGATCACAGACTTCTGGATTAATGAGCTTTTTCAGCATACATTTGATTCATTATCACAATCTCATGAATGAAATAGTGAAATCGCAAGACATATTGTTTGATTTGGAATAGGAATGAAAGTACGTAGCTTGCCAGGAGTGCACATTTTGAAGCTGAGAGAGAACAGAGGGAGAAATGCATTCAAAGACTGTCGAGAAAACTCAGGTTATGCATTAACCTATTGAACCTGTTCAAACAACATGCTTGTTAAAACTCAAAACTAATCCAACTGAAGGTGCTTAATCGGTTCATATGTCCGTTGCCTTCACTGGCAAATAAATCAAAGGATTAACAGCTGTATCTTAAAAATAAAAAGGATACTCTTCAAATATCTCAAAAGCAGATCAGTATAGAATAACGATGCAATGCAAAATGAATCAAGCAACTCCTAAACCACAAATTAATTTTATGGTTGGCAGTCTTGGAATGCATCTCTGCAAGAGGAAAATATAGAAGAGGATGCTTTTTACAATCAGAGGATAAAGGTGAACACATAGAAACAGCAGTAAGACCTTGCCAAAGATGATACAAATAAAAACATTTAAATAAACAAAATAATTAGGTTTTAATATATTTCACCCCTTCTATGTGTGAATATGTTTACATTAATAGATTGCCGAAAGGGAGCATTTGGTGCAGACGATTTACTACCAGACAGTGAAGTAAGTTGAATTAACATTCTCAGATATAGCCAACAATTTTGCACACTTCAGTGACCATCTTTTCAGTTTTGTTCGTTAATCCAGCTTCGTCGTACTGTCACAGTCACTAATTTTTCCAAGTCACTTCCTTACTATTTAAACCAAATAGGAAAACAGATACCACTCTTGTATCAAATCCACTTTTCTAACGTTATCTCATCAATAAAGCCATGAGCAAGGCAACCTGGTCCAGAATATTCAACCTTAACCTAGGCCACCTTTGCTGAAATCCTCATACATTTGTCATCTCCTGACAAGCCTCCCACAAATCACCCATTTTTTCAACTCATTCAAAAAATTTGCAGCCCAAATGCTATCCTGCATCAATATCTATTCACCCATCACTCCAGCCTGTGGTAGCCCGTAGTGGATTCTCTGTCCTTAGCAAGTTCTCAAATTTTATCATTCTTATCCTGATCTTTAAATCCTTTCCTGGGCTCTCTTCACTTTACCACAATCTAACAAATAATCATTTATATAAAATGTCATTAATAAATTTTAGAAACCAATTTGCATGCTGTGAAAAAAAATGTCCCCTGTACAACTTGCACCCTTCATCTTTCCCCCAAGCTCTTATCTTTTTGAGCACAGTATTTTCTAGAGACAGCCAGAAAAGTAACCTGACACCACTCAAATATAAAGCATAGGATGACCCTAATTGTTAACAGGATAAGTGTAGACAAAAGCGAATACATCCTATGCAATACAGACGGGAAAGGCCAAAAACAAACCAAAACACCCTCTTGGCCTGGACCAACTAGAACTAAGCCATTACCAGGGGTTACGGTTAGGAGTTAACCCTAACCCTAACCCAAACCAGGGCGACTAATGCAAATACCAGTGCAAACGTCCACCTCAGGGCAGCAAAGAAACAGTAGCTTCAGAAGAGCATTGTATTTCTGCAGCCTATACTCTGACAGATCTTCCTATTGCTAATGGTCCCTCTTGCACAGGAGTAGAGAAGAAAAAAAAAATGAAAATGAAAAGAACACGATGAAAGAAAATAAAAATCAAAAACAAACTGAGGAAGAGGTTTATCCAACCTAGGAAGTGGCAATTTCAAACTCAAATGGTCAAATACTAATTATTGCTTGTGCGATCTGATAGCATCCTGTCAGCTGAAATCTTCGTGTGACCTTTGCCAACTGGGACTGTGCTTGCCCAGTTGACTCAGGAATAGGACTGCACAGTGCCCCACTAGATTTGGTTCAAGGATTTCATGCTTGGTTGGGTATAACAGGAATTATTCATCAATAATTGCAAACTATTTCATGGACATTCAAGAAGCCATGATAGATACTTTCAACAAAATAGACAAAAGAACAGTTCAAATGTGCTACCATCCCAAGAAGATCCTCTATTACTACCCCATGACAACCCCCTCTTCTTACATGCTGTTTTCACTTGCATTTGGGTTTGTACTTGTACCTAGGTATTTCCAGTCGATTCAGCTGTCTAAAGCTGCCGATGGAGCGCTTGCAGAAATTCCAGCCATATGAAGCTCAGAGGCACAAGGATGTTTTGGAATAAAAACAAATTGAAGTGTTTGCATCTTCTTTTGAAGTTTATAGAAGAATGCAAAATGTTGTTCCTGGTAAAGCAGAAACTGGAGATCTCCCACATTTATTCAATACTGTGGTGGTAAGACCTGAACATCAGTATTGAAATTTAAAATCACAATGTGGCACTGCCAAGAGGTACTCCCAAATCAGGGATAAATAAAAAGTGGTTTATAAATTTGAGCTGTTCAAATAACTTACTTTTTAAGAAACTTCAGATTCATTAAAACTTACTTTTTTTTGCTGCGAATACATAGCTGTGAGAGCAGCAGGTGCACAGGCTATAACCCAATCAAATGAATTTTACCTTAGTTAGAGCGACGAAAGACAACACAGCCACTGCTGTGAACATCACAGTTGGGATGAGCATCACAACCGCTGAGCCTGCATTTGTCCCGAAGAAGGTAATTGTAGCTATCCAGCCACTGTAGGGTGCAGTAAAAAAAAATACATTAGGCTCAACCAAGGACTAGTATTTTTATTTTTAAGATTGCTGGTGTAACCTGAACACCATCACATATTAAATCAATGCAGATATTATATACCTTTTACAAGCTACCTTTGTAACTTCGATCACAACATAAATTCACTGATTGAGAAGCATTTTGTATTCATGTACAGTTCAAGGTGTTGCAGGAATGCACGTTCTTTCTGCATCAAGATGTTTACCACAATCCTTGCAACCTTTTTATTGACTTCCCGACATCTTCCATAATAAGTTATTTTACAAGCTTTGAGAGTGGACTTCCTGCAACTGTTAAAACTACACAGTTGGACAGAAAGCATGTTGTATTTGGCAAAATGATAAAACGCTATGAAATCATGCAGAAGATGGATGGATTTGGCAGAGACAGAGGCAAAACTGCCAATACTATTAACATTGTTAATTGTGGACAATGTGAATAGAATTGTACGATTTAAAACAAACTTTACCTAAAATTTCAATAAAAAAAAAACTGCATAATTTTGGAGAACAAGAGGAGAAGGTGGATCAGGAATTTGGACACAAGACCCATGCTGCTAGCTCCATGAAATCTGCTACAACTTCAGGGGTTTCATGCCAGAAAGGATAGTGGGTATTGTATGTCTTACCTCTTACTTTTATTGATGATCTGCATTTGACGTTCATAGGAAACACACCAGGTGATCTACTGCCCCCATCACAGAAATCTTAGGAAAGTCCAGTATTGCGTCAACTAACGTGTCTTAGTGATCAGAATACCTGGTCATTCTTAGCATTTACAATTATCAATGTGGTAAAATAGGCGTAGGTTCATAGACGCACAGGACACCTTCCATCGTTAGCAGAAGATTTTGTTTTACCTCTCCAGAGGTGTCACTCACTATACCACAGCAGGTATGACAGCCATTTTTCCCTCCTTGCAATACAGGTGAGTGAGGCACATTAGCAATGCTAGTGACCAAATGACGCTCGATTCCAGACTCCTACCATATCAGGAAATCAAGCCTTCCATAAATGTCAGGATAGAACAAGAACATGTCTTGGCATTCAAAACACTCTCTTGATCAAATTATTCCCATTCACCAAGCATGATGCACATTGTTCGTTCACTCATGCTTTTTCCTGAAAACAGATCCTTGGCGCATTGTCAGATGTTTCATCCTGAGCCATTTTCATGTCTACCTCAGTTGGAAGTGGAATTGAACTTGCCGTGTTAACATGATCATGAACCACATGCTATCCCCTAGCCAACAGAATCAACACATCCCAGACGGTGCAGTTATTGGAAAATAAATTACTGTGCACATGAACATATTAATAATCAAAAATTGCACTTTGGCAAAATTTACAAACGGGATGTTTTCCAGTAAGTTATACCACGACCCACTGCAGTCAAAAATCGACTCAATTTCCTCTCCATTCCTTATGGAGCAGAGTGGTCAAAACTTCATTTACAACCTCTCAAGGAGCAAAACACACGACACTTGCTTGTGGTTTACTAAATAAAATTTACATTGAATCTTTTACACTATTAGCATTTGCTCATTGTTAAGACTAGTCCCAGCAATAAAAAAGCAAAAATTTACATCTGATTCTTTCTTCTTCTACAGACAGGAGGCCTTCAATGATAGCTGACACTTATGTACTGTGACAGTGTTTATATTTATTAGCCCTAAGAACTCATTAAAATATAGTTGACAGAATAGATTGGAGGTGTCAAAAGGTGCAGGGAGTAGTGTACACATAGGACCAAAAGAAAATAACAGAACAGAACAGAACAAAAGTTAGTACACAAAGCTTGCTGATCAATGGACAGTTATTAGATCTCAGTTTATGCTTTAAATAAAAATTTAGAAGGTGAAATGGATTTTCCATTTAATTGAAACAGATTTTTTGCAAAGCCAGATATAGGTGAGGTTCAGCATACCCTATTCATACTGCACACAGCCTTAAAATCACTTCCATTCAAAAACCTTTAGTTTGCCAGTGATAGAATGGAAGTGAACTTAAGAATGTAGGAACTAGGAGGAGGAGTGAGCAAATTCAGCTCCTCAAGCCTGCTCCGCAATTGACAGGATCACGTCTGATCTCATCGTGGTCTCAACTCCATTTTCCTGTCCAATCTCTATAACTCGTCATCCCATCACTAATTAAAAAACATCTATCACCTCAAATTTACTCAATATACCAGCATCCGTTGCATTTTGAGGGGGGTGGGGGAGGAGTGATTCCACAGATTCATGACCCATTAGGTAGTAATTTCTCCTCATCTGTTTTAACCCCTGATCATAAAACTATGACCTGTCAGTCTAGATTGCCCCACATGAGGAAACATCTTTTCCATATCTACTTTGTCAATCCCCTTTGGCATCCTTATATATCTCAATTACATCTCCTGAACTCCAGAGAATATAGGCCTAAACTACTCAATCTTTCAAGACAAACCCCTCATCTCTGGAATCAATCTAACCAACTTCCTTCCAACTACCTCCAACACAACTTCATCCCTCAAGTGAGGGGATCAAAGCGTATGCACCTGGTGTATTGCAGTCTCAATAATGCCTTGCACAGTTTCAACTACAAGTGATCAACGAAGGGACAAATGGGCTAGAAATAAATCTATTTCTCAGAAGTGGAGAAAAACCATCAGTGGTTTAGAGAACATGGGCTTTCTATACAGTATTTATCATTTTTAAATATCAAAACTTGCAGAAGTGGGAAACCAAAATAAATTAATATGAAATACTGGACAGATTGAGGTTGATAATGAGGTTCTTTTTAACAGCTAACATCTTGTATTTTGTTTAGAACTGCTGCAACCAATTTTCAGAGTGCCATACATTTATTTACAGCACCTTTTATTACTTTGGGATAAACTTTCAATGAACTCAATACAACACAAACAGCTGGATGTTTGATTCTTCAACGTTTTGCAAGGAACAACACCGGTGTCAAAATTTAACATGCTGGATAAAGCCCTAAAATCAACGGGCCAACACCAAATCAATAACTAATGTTGATAATGCTCTCTGAACAGGCCTTCTGAAATGACAAATTCAGGATAAAATGGCAAACAAAATACCGCAAACAGAAAGATCATTCCAATAAATTTACTTAGGGTTCATATAATCGAAACATGATTAGATAGTGACATTTTACTCATTATGATTATTCAGCTGTTCAACACATTCTTCCTAACAGTACTTATTCTGAAGGAAATGGAAAATAAATACCATTCCAAGGTTTACATTAGAATGTTCATTGCAGCACTGTTAACTGAAGCCCAAAACTATACTGATTAACAGTCTAGAATACAAATTATAACTGCCACATTAATATATAACCACTAAATTTGATTACATTTAAAAAATGAGTTAGATTCCACTTATGAATTATATGTTTTGTAAATCATTTTGATATAAATTAAAACTTACTGAAACCTACATATTATTTAATTCAGAACGTATAAATCAAACCAGCTGAATTAAATTGCAGTGAATTTGTATTTGTTTAATTATTAAAATATTTTTCAGACAAGCACGCTTCCATACCTTGTACAGTTATTATTAGATTCACAGATATGAAATCTAGAGTCTAATTTTCTTAAAAAGAGGCTTAAAAAGTTAAAGGAAACTGAAATGTTAAGCTAACTTTTTGTAATTCATGGTCAGCATGTAGGCACAGCATGCAATCAGAAAGGTAAACAGAATATTGGAATGGAGTATATAAGGAAGGAAGTCCGGTCACAACTGTACAGGGCACTGGTGAGTACTGGGCACAGTTTCGGTCTCCTTACTTAAGCAGGATTATATTTGCATTAGAAGCAGTTCAGAGAAGCTTCATCAAACTGATTCTGGGAAAGAAGCAATTAGCTTATGTGGAAAGGTTGAACCAGTACTCACTGAAGTTTAGAGGGACAAGAGATGATCTTACTAAAAGAAAGTCTGACAGATTGACTGGATAGATGTTGGGTGTAGATGCAAATAGATTTGAGAGGGAAAGAGAGAAACCTGGAACTAAGCAGAAATTAAAAATATGGCAATGTTCCAGCAATGTTCTCTCCAAGCTGTGCTACCACTCTAAGGTTTCACACATGCCAATCGACATGCCAACAAATTCACCTACAGTTATAGAAGTCATTGCCGTGCCCAGACTGCAGAGGTTCAAGCATCAAAAAGAAAAATTAGAGGGAGCATTGTCTCCTAGTCAGGTTGGAATTTCTTTCAGGGAGTGGGGTTCAAGGCTTCAGGTGGGCTATCTGAGAGAAGAGTGGAGACTGGATAAATGGTATATTGACAGTTGGGTTAGATTCTTGGTCAATAAGGGAATCAGAAGTTATGTGGGGCAAGTAGGTTCAGGAAGCTAAATGGCTTACTCCAGCACTATTTGTCACATTCTTTTTCGTCCATTGTTTTGCACCTTATCGTAACCCTGAATCCAGTTTACCACAAAGTTGACAATAGCCACCTATTGACATGCACTTCAAATTCTTAAGAAAGCCTAAAAGATGAAGTTTTGCAGATCACAAAGTTTGAACACCATTAAACATTCTCCAAATGCCACGCTTTCCTCCTTATTTTAGTCTATTCATAATGATAAACGTGAAGCAGTGCAGTCAACACATAGGATCTTGGGGAAATCCTTGCCATGACTGCAAAACAGCCAAAAATCACTGGACAGTCACATTCAGCAGGTTGCAATTGTTAAACTTGGTACCAATGTCTTCAGAAATTTGTTTAAACTGAATAGGTACAGTTAGAGTTCACAAATATCAAATTTTTGGTTCACAATAGAAGTAATACCTTAAAAAGGTTTTTTGATAACAGCTTTGTCTTCTTAATATTTTTAGTCAAAACTTCCAAATTTGACAAAAGGATTGACTTAACAGCAGCTCCACAACCTGCACCATCAACAATTCTGGTCATAAAGTCAGAAAGATGAGCTGCTGAAAACTGATATATCCAAGGTGTGCCTAGTGGACTTTTGAATCACAGTCAACTTGGTGTTTTATTATGGATAAAACATTGTCGCAGGTGATCACTGGAAAGGAGATGGAGGACACCAGAGCTACATGAAACATCCTTTGCAGGAAAGAAATGTTTCCAGGTTAAGTAAATTCTTACCATGTGAACAATCAAGAAATTTAAAAGTCTAATCATTAATGTCATAATTAATAATGCATGAACTAGCATTAATCTAACAATATTCTTTGGTTTCATAATGAGAAGTCGTATGGGACCATTGATAAGCATAGCGAATAGAATAGAGCTAGATGAGGAAGTATGGGAGGTAGCTTGTTTGCGGCATAAGCATTGGCATGAATCATTTGGGCTGAATGGCCTGTTTCTGTACTATCCATTCTATGGAAAGTATTGAATATCCCAAGGTAATTCACAAACAAGGTCAGGTACACATAAAAGTAAGGTAAATGGCTGGAGAAGTGAGCATTTGCGTGGTTTACATAAAACTAGTTTAAAGATACTTCTGAAACTTGGAGAATTCTAGAATGTGGAAAAAAAAAAGTCTGAACATGCACTGGAAATAAGGGCTGCTAAACCAAAGAGCCCCACCTCTAACATTCAGTAATAGCCATCGAAGATTGAAATTTCGCAGCTCGCTAATAACTGGGTTAACCGGTTACCTAACTCTGACTAGAACCTTTTGGTGAACCTGTTTTAGATGAGACACAGATTAATATGAGAGGTAATAAATGCCAACAATATTCTAGTCTTTATTTCTCAATATACTATAGTTAGTACACAAAGAAATTGATTCTTACCAGACTCCCCAGCCAGGGATTCCCACTGCTTGAATAATGCTGATTACCAGCTGGGCCATAAACGTGAAGAAGAATGCCATAAAATTGAATGAACTATCTGACCTAGAAGTGCAGGCATAGGACAGAAGACATTTTCAAGAGCTTTTGTCAAAGTGGCTTCTTCATGCCTAAATACATAGTAGTCTCCAATGATAAAAGATTTAAATCAAAAAGTTTCAATTCAGTGTTCATTTGAAATACTAGCTTAAAAAATTGGAAACTATAAAATCAAAATCTCCAAAAACTAGCTGTAGAAATTAACAGTGGTCAGAAAGCTGAGAAAGAACATAACTTTAAAAACATGTCAAAGCAAAGCTGCACATCAACTTAATTATTAAATCGAGGTTGTCTTGCACAATTAAATCCGACTGCACCTAAGCAATCTTAAAAAAAAGAATGTTAATGAATATGAAGAATATTAATGAATAGCGTAGAAGATACATAAAAAGGTTGATTTTGCTGGCAGAGATTTCACACACGAAATCTGTATTCTACACAGCCTGAAAGTCTCTCACATACAGGTTTTATTTACATTTTCCACAGGGTACTCAATAACAAAATAACATGGCTTTCTTTCAAATTAAGTAAATAAATTTTACCTCTTCCCAGGTATGTGAAGAGTTAGCAAAAACACAAGCAATGCTTATAACAAAAGTTTCAATTAAAACTGAACTATGCAAAATTAGTACAGTCAAATCAAAGCCAAGAACAGTAACTCCATTAGATTAGGCAAGATGACTGTTTGTAGCTTGACTGTGACGAGGAAGAATGGAGAGAAAAAAAAAGAAATAGCAAGGATCAGTCCCACTTAGCAGAGCCACTGAGCATTACGGAGTGGAACTGTTCAAGTCAGCGTCACAGCTTAGAGAGGAAGTGCAGCAGCATGAGTGGAAAATAAGAAAAGAAAATCTTGCCTGCAAACACTCACTAAACAAGCTAAAATTGGTTTGGGACTTTGATGCTTTGTCATATTGATTCTATTTGTTTCATATGCTAAGAGTCTTCATTCAGATTACATTTTGGCATGAGAACGAGTGCACCAACAACAGTTCTGGCATCTCCAACATGATTTCAGGCAAAGGAATAATCCCACTGCGTGACCCAAGATAAGAAAAATTGGATTTAATTAATATAGATTTTTGTGTCTTCAGCCAAATAAAAATGGAAGTAGAAAGCACACAGCAATAGAATTAGACATGAATCAGAAGCCCCACTGACATGGAGGTTTCAATAAGCAGTACAGAAAATTACAGTGAAAAGTAATTTAGTCAGCCCAGCACTGTAGTAATTTTCCACTCGCTGCATTTGCCTTATGCGAGTAGCTTTCAAAATGCCATTAGAAATCCTCAAGTATCTTTTTTTCCCCTCCTCCCAAATGAAATTCTACTGCTTGCACTAGAGTGGATGTCTGCACTGTTAAGCATAATCTGATGCGTGGTGTATGGAGTTACCAGCATACTGGGCCTCTTCATCTGCAAATCAGCATTGTCTCAGCACACTGTGTGCAATCTTCAGACATTTCTGTGTTGCTAACTCTAACACTGGTGTTTGTATCTGGAGAAATCTATTCTGTGGCACCAGATGCATTCCCCCTTAACACCATTAAACTGAGAACTATAATCTTTCTTTCCCCCCCCAAAAAGGACAACACAGAAAGGAGGGAGGTGGGTCTTAAAACTCCACTGTGTTAGTGCCAAATTGCTCTAACAGCCATTCATTGTCCTATTTACCCCTCTCTTCCCTCTCTATCGTTGACAAATATTGATTCATTTTCCTTCTGAGATATTAATTTATTATTTCTGATGAGGCACTCCACATCTTCACAACCCTCTGCAAAATTAAATGTTCTAAATATCTCCTATTGTTTTCTCTTGAGCAGAAGCCTGTAAGCCAGTGGAAAGAGTTTTCCCCAATTTACTTCATCAAGCACCCCTCGACGAAATCTAGAAAGGTTTTCAATGAAAGTGTCCCAACCTTCTCATCCATGTGAATGGGGCTGAGGAAAAATGAGCGACAGCTCAAGAGTACTTACTTGAAGGCCTTGTAGATTGGTCTAAACCAGCAAACATAAGAGCATGGTGTGAACAGAATCAGCCAGAGAAAGGCCAGTCCAAAGTTGACAGCTCCACCTCCTCCAATCAACCAAGCTAGACAGCCAATCAGATTCACTGCAAGTGTGATGCTGTTCACTGCAATAAAGTATCAATAGCACACAACAGCCAATGATCATTCACATTGCAGGCAACTAACATGGAGGTCAGCATTTCCACAGGTAAGGCAATAAGCCAATCAGCAAAGCTGTGATACAAGCCAATGCCCTGCAAGGTGTTATGTTTGAGAACTTGCTCAATGAAACTGCACAGGGCACAACTGCTCTGACATCAGGACAATCGAGGATGGGAATAGGCAATCTACTTTTAGGTCAACTCAATCTTTAGATGATTGACATTCTTCCTTTGTTACTTTTCACAAGTTATACAGAAGTCACATTTTGAGCACACTTATGAAAATTTCACTGCTAGTCACCCGCTATTTAGACATTACACAAGGCCCTAGGATGTCCAATACTACACCAGTCAATATTAACTTGAAACCAAATTGGAACTGGCAAGTCAGTCACTTTTTATTGCCCCAACCCTTCTGTAAAACAGTACGCCATTCAGAATTTATGGAGGTGTCAGTTTGTGATGCAGAAAAGATATCCATCTGCCGAAGAACAGCAACTGTAATGTCAGAATGCATTTGGAGTATTGAAAGCAGTTCTGAGTTCTGTGTCTAAGGAGGGATGTGCTGGCATTGGAGGGGATCCAGAGGTGTTTATAAGAATGATCCCAGGAGGAAGGGCTTGTCATGAGGAGCTGTTGAGGACTCTGTGTCTGTACTCAATGGAGTTTAGAAGGGTGAGAGGAGGATCTGATTGAAACCTACAGAATACTGAGATACCTGTAATAGAATGGACACAGAGGTAATATTTCTTCTAGAAGAGACTAGGATCCCAGTGCGTATCCTCAGAGTGAAGGAGCAACCCTTTAGAATGGAGATGGAGAGGAATTTCTTCAGCCAGAAAGTGGTGAATCTGTGGAACTGATTTTCACAGAGGGCTGTGGAGGCCAAGTCACTGAGTGCATTTAAGACAAAGATAAATAGGTTCTTGATTAGTAAGGTGATCAAGGGTCATGGGGAGAAGGCAGGAGAATGGGGTCGAGAAACATACCAGCCATGATCAAATAATGGAGAAGTCTTGATGGGTCTAATTCTGTTCCTATGTCTAATGGCCAGATGAAATGAAAAGCTATGCTCAATGGTTGATCAGCACAATGACTGCTTCATCATATGACATAGTTAAACACAGACTGTAGCATCTAGAAGATCTTTGAAACTGCTCCACATGGAATCTCTTGATCACGTGATCAATTACAATCTGGATGAGAGATGCTCTGAGAACATCTGGATGCAATGATACCCAAATTCCTCCTAAGCTGATTCATTGCAGGAAAAGTAGCATTGATCTTAGCAATCTCTCTGCTTGCTGTTTCACTACTGAAATAGAAACGTACAGGCAAACTAGTTCGATCATCCCATAATTTTCTGCTGCACTGAAAAATGCGATTCTTCAGATAATCTTAGAAGCAATATGTACTGTACTTAAATGGAATTACATATGGCTCAATTGTTCTACGCTGGTATTTATGCTGGATATATGCTAATGCACAAGAGCAAGATGCTGATACATGGAAAAGATTTTCCCTAAGTACTCCGAGTCACCAAGAAACAGATACATTGTTCAAGGCATTTCATGGCCTGTCGGGCAAAGGAACAGGGGAGATTTTTCAATAACCATTGCTACGAAGTTGTGTACATTAATTGTGAATTGGAAGGCAGGAAGGTAGAATTTGTTTTTTTAAAAAAATAAGGGAGAACAGTGCACGGTCCCAGGTGAAGTGCTCTTCTAAGCTTTGAGACTTATATACAGAAAAAAATCCATATATTAGGCGAAGATTGCAGCCAGTTCTAAAATGGAAACATGGATCAATTGGCTGTGTGATTGGAAACCTTTGTCGTGTTTTGATGTTTTAGCAAGAGCTGGAATCAGCCAATTAATTAATTGAAACCAAGCACTTAGCGATCGAAAGCCAATTGAATTCAAATCTGATGGTTTTGACAACCTCGGACCAATGCTATTGTACGAAAATTGATGTGTCATCCAAGGTATACAAGGAGAGGGATTCTGAAAAAAAAAATATCAGTGGGAGAGTGAACGGCTGAGAAATAAGCACTTAGCTCTCACAAGAAATCACTAATCACTAAATTATAGACCAGTGAGCCTGATATCAGTGGTGGAGAAGATTTGAGGGATAGGATCTATTTACATTTGGAAGAAAATGGGCTTATTCGTGATAGGCAGCATGGTTTTGTGCAGGGAAGGTTATGGCTTACCAACTTGATAGAATTCTTTGAGGAAGTGACAAAAGTCGATAGATGAGGGAAGGGCTGTAGATGTCATATACATGGACTTCAGTAAGGTGTTTGATAAGGCTCCCCATGGTAGGCTGATGGAGAAAGTGAAGTTGTATGGGGTCCAGGGTGTACTAGCTCGATGGATAGAGAACTGGCTGGGCAACAGCAGACAGAGGGTTGTAGTGGAAGGGAGTTTCTCAAAATGGAGAACTATGACCAGTGCTGTTCCACAGGGATCCATGTTGGGACCACGGTTGTTTGTGATATACATAAATGATCTGGAGGAAGGTATAAATGGTCTGATTAGCAAGTTTGCAGATGACACTAAGATTGGTGGAGTAGCAGATAGTGAAGGGGACTGTCGGAGAATGCAGCAGAATATAGACAGACTGGAGAGTTGGGCGGAGAAATGGCAGATGGAGTTCAATCCAGGCAAATGTGAGGTGATGCATTCAAGAGCGAACTATATTGTAAGTGGAAAAGCCCTGGGGAAAAATTGATGCAGAGATCTGGGTGTTCAGGTCCATTGTACCCTGAAGGTGGTAACGCGGGTCGATAGAGTGGTCAAGGCGGCATACAGCATGCTTTCATTCATCGGACGGGGTATGGAGTACAAAAGTTGGCATGGTTCGACCACATTTGGAATACTGCGTACAGTTCTGGTCGCCACATTACCAAAAGGATGTGGATGCTTTGGAGAGGGTGCAGAGGAGGTTCACCAGGATGTTGCCTGGTATGGAGGGCACTAGCTATGAAGAGAGGTTGAGTAGATTAGGATTATTTACACGAGAAAGACGGAGATTGAGGGGGGACCTGATTGAGGTCTATAAAAATCATGAGAGGTATAGACAGGGTGGATAGCAAGAAGCTTTATTCCCCCCCCACAGAGTGGGGGATTCAATTACTAGGGTCACGATTTCAAGGTGAGAGGGGTAAAGTTTAAGGGAGATATGCGTGGAAAGTTCTTTACGCAGAGGGTGATGGGTGCCTGGAACGTGTTGCCAGCGGAGGTGGTAGAGGCAGGCACGATAGTGCCATTTAAGATGTATCTAGACAGATACATGAATGGGCAGGGAGCAGAGGGATACAGATCCTTGGAAAATAGGCGACAGGTTTAGATAGAGGATCTGGATCGGCGCAGGCTTGGAGGGCCAAAGGGCCTGTTCCTGTGCTGTAATTTTCTTTGTTCTTTTGTTCTCTTATCGAAGAAAAGGTACCATGGCACTTCTAGCTAAAAGTCTTCACAGACAAAACATACCTGACAGCAGGATCAGCTGAAGAAAGGACAGACAGACAGTGAAGAAGGCACAGCGTTCTAGAGGACACATTCTGTGTGGACTCAGAGGCTAAGTTTTAATTTTTTTTTTTCCTTACTATTTGGGTTATATAAGTTGGACTTGTGTTTACTGAAATAGCATACCAGTAGAATTTTGTTCAGTTAGGGAATAGTTAGGAATTAGGGGAGAATTGTTCTGTTTGTTTGTAATTCTGTAAATTTGTTCACTGTTAGAGTTAAAGAAATAAATGGTTACTTGTTACTTATAAAGTGAATATCAGGGATTCTCTTTCATCTCATCTCCCCTTCTCCATAACACCGTCCTTTTCACAAAAAAGTAAAACCACTAACTCCTTCTCTCACCATGGATGCTACTTGAGCTGCTGGGCATTTGCAGTATTTATTTCAGATTTCCAGCATACAGCTTTAACCTTTATGCAGAATGAAGCAGCTTGGTTGGTTTTGCTTTTCCCATTAAGGAATCCACCAGTTGTTTTCCTTGTTTCGTCCTTAACATTATGTAGCTGTAATAGCTGGATTTTTCATATTCCAAAGGAACAATGCTAGTCATAGCCCTGCTAAGGAGCAATGCATCAAGGTTTCACTGCCCAGATAAAATAATATAATCGTTCAATATGTTAACACCTCATTAATCTAACCTTGCATCTGTGGAGAAGCTACAGACATATATCAAACTTCAGATGGTAAAAAGGTCCCAGAAAAAGCAGTCTTCTAAGGAGGCAAAAATAAAATGAACGTCTACAACAAAGCATGCCCTGGATACATGATCAGGGGTCATTCTTGCCTTGTGCACACAATTGTTGACATTCAGCTATATGGCTTCTTCAAGCTGGAAGCTGGGTGATGTCGCTAAAACAGAATGTGGAGCATCATAATGACGGAGCAGCTACCTTCCATCAGTATTGCAACAGAAAAACAAAGCAATTTTTAAAAGAGATAACTTGTTTTAGTCTCATCATCTGCGAGAGGGCTTCACATGGACATCTGATTCACATCAGGTGTACTTTATACTAATTTACCCCATGACTTTGTTATTTTCTGATCATTTGACAAGGTATCCAGAGCAACATGTGGGAACAGCAGCCAACTTCTTTATTTTTAAAAAGAAAAAAAGAATAAGAAGTTTCTTTCTTCACCAATATTAAATCCACCAAGGCTACACCATAAAAGACCTGCTTTAGAACTAACTAATCTCACTATGTATAATGATTTAAGTGATTCACACATCAGCAGTTTTTCAGTTTTCAAGCACATTGAAAAGGCCACTGTTAAATCCGTTAAGCCATGGCTTTGTCTGACCATCATTTTAATTCAGACACTCTAGAAGCTCAGTATATATTCAATGCAAATTTGCAACACACTGTCCAATTGATTTCCCCTTGGGCACAGGAGATGCTTGCTCTCATGAAGCAAGAAGGAACTGCGACCCTTTTA